CCCTGTAACTCCTAAACCCTAAACCTGCCTGGGAAGTTCCCGTAGATTCCTTGGATCTCTGCCTCAGTGAGACGCTCGCAAATCATAGAACCCTGAAACTTAAACGCCACCAACCAAGCCGTTGTAAACCCTCCTGAAACCCAAAACACTTCTCAAGCTTCAACCTACCGAGTGCTTAAACATACAACCACACACACCTGATAATTCTATATATACATATATAATGACATATAATGACCTTAGAATCCCTACATATCCTAGATTCCCTAAGGACCCACCCCCCAACTTTGAGAAACCAAATCGAGATTTCTCGCGCAGCGGACCCGGCGAGGCCCTTGCTTCGAAGGGTGCGCAGTGCGTGATCACCGTGCGGAACGTAGAGAAGGGCAACGCGGTGAAGGCAACGGGTTATTTGAGAGTTTTGTCGGGCTTCACCGAGTCGTATGGGCGTTTAAAGATGAAACGTTTGGGATCTTGGTGCACGTCTCAATGTTGAGTATGAAAGTTTTGGAAACAGGGACTTGCAGTGTCATGTGGAGAAGGTGCACTACGGTAGCAGGAAACTTTTCGTATTAGTAGAGGCTGCACGAATGCGAGTTTGATGGTTTGGCGTTGTGGCTTGCGGAAGCTAGGAGGAGGTAGGTGAAGCAACAAGATGGCATCAACGAAGCAAATCAACGACGGTGATCCTGCCCTGCTAACCTGTTTGACTTTGGAGGTCGAGTCTCAAGCTTCAGGGCTGGGGATTTGAACTTGAAGGCTGGTATACAAAGTCCTACAGGCTGTAATGGCACGTCCCTCAGCTTCAAAATTAGTTAGACATGTCCGAAGATGTCGGACTCGCCAACGCAGGTTTTCTCTACTTGTTTTGATTATGGACTAGGAGCAGCAGTAGCAGCACTGGCAGAGTCTGCTCCGAAAAAGAGTTACCAAGCAGTGGTAAAAAAAGCTCGCAAGACTCATAAGTCTTGTGCAACCGTCAATCATGTTTTCGTGGAGGCGGACTTGGAAGCGAAGCTGAAGGAGGACCGAGCTCCCAGTGCTGGATCGGGCCATGTTCTTTTAAGTGTTAGAAGCAGTTTGGGGTGGCTTTATGGTTTAGGCTTCGAGGGCTTGGGCCATGTCTAGTTCCTGCTTTGACCGAAACATGTGCTCTGGAGGAGGGCGTCTCTGCCAAAGACATCGCCGTCATGAAGATGGCCGCTTGGGCTTGTCTGGAAATCATGGCATGGCGCGGTAATGAGTGATGCTCCTGATGCCGAAGTCCAAGCCCTGCGTGCTCATACTTTTTTTTTTGCCTGTGTATGCGTGTTTTGGGCCTCCGTGACACGGGCCGCAGGACAACTGTGACTTCGAGAGTGTCCGCACCTTCGCAGAGGCATCTGGAAGGGGGAATCAATGACGGATGCCAATATCATGTGGGTCATTACCCCTTACAGTAAATGACCTCAAATGGGTTATAAGTCCTAGCTGTTACTTTAAGAGGGAATGACCTGGGGTATCAAGGTTTGAGAGGCACCTCTTGTCCGAGGCTGTTTGAGGCAAGGCAATAACTGTAGAGCGTACCTCATGCCCACGACCCTGATTCCGCCATACGTAAGCCTAATGTGAACCCGAGAGACTTCTGTTGGAAGCACAAATTGTCTGGTAGGCGTCCGCCCTGAGCAAACCCTACCAAATCCAGGACTTCAAGAAGCAGTATGACCGACTGGACATCGTGTGCAACAACGCCGGCGTCATGGGCCTGGACGTTCAGATGACCAAGGACCGGGCAAAATTTAGTGTGCAGTATTTTGGTACGTGGCATATGAGGGCAAGGCTACTTTGGAGTCTGTTGTGGACTTGAAGTCAACATCATGGAGACTTTGCAGCAAAACGCTCCTGACGGAGGATGGCTACGACATCCAGATCCAGACGAACCACCTCAGCCACTTCCTGATGACGGCCCGGCTATGGCCACTCCTGAAGTCCACGGCAGAGAAGTACGGCGACGTGACGCTGACCCAGGTCTCGTCCGGTGCCTCAGAGAAGGGCAAGCCCACAGTGGACGCCAGCAACTTGAACAACCCACACCCGTCCCACGGGATCCTGCTGTACCTGGCACCATACGTGCTGGGTGGTAGCACTGGCCACTGGGCTCGCTACGGCCAGAGCAAGCTGGCCAACGTGCTCTTCGCCAACGAGCTGCAGAAGCGGCTCGCGGCCGCCGGCCTCGGCGAGAAGATGAAGTCCACATCCTGCCACCCGGGCCTTGCCGCCACCAATCTGCAGATCACCACGCAGAAGGGTGGAGGCATGAAGGACGGGGCCGGCTACCAGAAGAGCGGCCAGTCCTGCGCTGATGGATCCTTGCCTCTGGTCATGGCAGTTGCACACCCCACGCTCTGCGAAGGTGGAGCCTACTACGGACCTTCGGAAGGGCGCACCGGCGCGCCCGTCAAGACCAAAAACGAAAACCCCATGGCCTACAACGAGGCTGTCATGAAGGCGCTCTGGGAGGCCTCCGAGAAGGCTGTTGGTGAGGAGTTCAAGCTTTGAGGGATGTATCCCCTGCCCTGCGACCATTAGGTCCTGTTAATACTGTTATGCTGCCAGGATCAGTTCCCGGCGCTTTTTGCCAACATTATACAAGGATCCAAGGATAGCTGATCGGAAACCGAAGGAAGCAGCATCCTTGGTCTATGAATGACAGGGCACGATACAGGCCAAATCATCACGAAAACAGACCGTTCTGCTGGTCCTGCTACTCCTG